GCAATGGAGGACCGTGATGGAAACCAGAGTGCATGAAAATGCCATTTGCCTTCCCACCACAGCAGTACCTATTTATCTACTTGCACTGGCATGCTTTCGAACTGCTAGGTTGGCAGGAGCTGGGACAGAGCAACGGGTGCTCACTCCATCGCGGGGATTCGAACCACCAACCTTCTGATCGGCAAGCCCAAGAGGCACAGCACCACCCGCGTTGTTAAGAGAGGACAGGTAAAACTACAAAAGAACTAGATGAATTTTCTGCCGCTGGTCTTCACAGAGGAACGTTTGGACAAGTAGCAAACCACGACAGAAGAACCTACTTTTTACTGAAGAACCTCCTACAGGTAGGAGATCTGAGACATATGGATATAACAAGAGAGTAAGCTGTAGGGTCAACTGACAAACTAAAAATTAACAAGTCAGTAGATCTGGATTACATCCACGTAGGAGCTCCTAAACAGTTTAAATGTGAAATTGCTGATCTTCCAAGATGCAATTTGTCACTATCGGAAAATTGGAAGGGAGCCAACAGGACACCGGAGGGGAATCTGGTGATGAGAGACCTTTTAGCTGATCCCCAGTAAATAGGTGTAAGTAGAGAAAATTAGTGGAATTAGTTTATCTTCACACATCAATCCTACTGGAAAAAGGAGGGAATGAGTTTCTGGAATTGCCAGCTGGAAGGTCAGAGACAGGAGTGAATGGATGGGGTTACGCATCTGCACACACAATGTGCTAGAGCACTAGAAATGTTGTGGGTGATTTCCCTGTGCAACCACCTGCCCAACTACACACATGTACTGCCACTTTCTCAGCCAAGTCCCCTCCTCAGGTGATCCATGCAGATCCGCTGGGGAATAGGTTATTTTCTAACACAATGTGCTAATATCAGGATAAAAATCGGGTCCTTCTAATCTAAACCCTCAATCAGTGCAGTTCAGCTGAAAACTGGAGAAGGGCCTGTTTTTCATCCCCACTGTGGTTCAATGGGCAGGGAGATTTGAACCCATATGCTGCAATTGGGAACAAAATCACCACCACTCCTCAGCTGATCTCAGGGAGCCAACCAGCAATAAATCACACGGAGTACGTGAAGTTAACTCTTTATTAGCAGAAACCAGGGGAGCCAGGCCTAATGAGCACAGCAGCTCTTCCCAATAGGTCTTGCCCCTATGGGGCAATTGCAGAGGCTGAAGACCCCTGCTTTCCCACAGCTGCCTAATCATCTCTTCCTCTGGATTCTTCCCAAGCAATCTGAGCCTCCGCTAACCCACCTATCTCTGCTCCTCCCTCTTCATACATGCTTTTCTGGTCCTGGGAGACCAGAGGAGTGGAGCTTGTCGCAGCAGGAGGGGCAGACACTCGTACGTCTTCCCCAGCCAGACTCATCTCTGCCTCTTGTCCCCACCTCTGCTTCTGCCTCTGATTTTGGACTTCTCTAAGCCACAGACTCTTCTTACTCACAAAGTCTCTTCAGCTTCCGACACTTCCTCTTCCCAAGTCTTCTCCTTCTGATCACTCATCATCATCCAACCACCACTACATGACAGCTGATCCATTCTAATCAGTAAATATACCAAGAAAAAAGCACACCAAGAACTCAGGCCAATGTGAGTTTCAATAGTGGGAGTAGTCCCTACTCACAAATAAATACCGTATTTTTCGCTCTATAAGACGCACCAGACCGCTGCAGCAATCCCTCTTGCTGTTCTGGCTTCTGGGATAGCTGCGCAGCCTGCATTCGCTCCATAAGATGCACACACATTTCCCCTTACTTTTTAGGAGGAAAAAAGTGAGTCTTATAGAGCAAAAAATACGGTAATCAGTTTTAACAAAAACTGATCCATTCAAAAGTATGTATTCTGACAAGGATTACAAACTCAAATAGAGATTACAAACTCTAACTCATAAACATATGTATAACACAATAATTCGTTACAGACAAGTTCATGTTAGTCCATAATCAGATTCAATGTGATAATCTATGATCATTTAGAATTTAAATGTATTTTCATGTAATATTTGATACTTCCAGCTGATGAAGGTGAATACATCGAAACAGGGCCCTGTCCTGGTTTCTGATCCATAATTGACTTCTGATTTCTGCTCAGTGATTGAAACTAAGACCTTCACATCGAATCTGACTATGGACTAACATGAACTTGTCTCTACTCATAAACTCTTATTTCTAATTCTGTAACGAATTATTGTGTTATACATATCTTTATGAGTTTGAGTTTGTAATCTCTATTTGAGTTTGTAATCCTTGTCAGAATACATACTTTTGAATGGATCAGTTTTTGATAAAATTGATTATTTGTGAGTAGGGACTACTCCCACTATTGAAACTTACATTGGCCTGAGTTCTTGGTGTGCTTTTTTCTTGGTGAATGGAGAGGTTTGATCTTCTTGCAGTCCATGGGACTCTCAAGAGTCTCCTCCAGCACCAGAATTCAAAAGCATCCATTCTTCGGCGACCAGCCTTTTTTATGGTCCAGATCTCACTTCCATACATCACTACTGGGAAAACCATAGCTTTAACTGTACGGACCTTTGTAGGCACAATTACTATTCTTTTATTAAAAGACCCATTGTTTTTGTCTTTTACTGTCTAAAGCAATTTTTCAGTTTTTCAAAACAGTTATTGTGGGTCATAGCACAGCAGTGGCATGCAAGCTCCAGCAGCAGGAAAGGTGCGTGAAGGAGTAAGTGTACAGGCATGGTGCCAGGTTTAACCTCTGGAAACGTCACACAGGTGTCAATGTGCAGAAGGCAGAACAACGCTGGCATGAGCAATGCCTCCATGTATTCCACTGCAGCCCTATTCGTTTTTAGCGAGTAAATTGCAACAAATGAACTTCCAACATAGAACAGGAAAAAGAATGGGGAAAACACAGAAGGACAACGTGGTTGGCAGCAACATTTCCTGCATTTTCAAAAAAAAAAGAGGAAACTACAAAGGATTGTAATTGCAGACTAAACAGCTATACTTTTCTGATTCAGCCTGGCTATTCTACTGACCATGAATTAATCGTCCTAGGTTAAGAAATTTGTCCAGTAATTTATAATGAATGGGTGGGAAAACCACAAAGTGAACATAATAGGCAGCTATGTTTTGTGCAGCTCTATTTGACGAAAGTACCGTATTTTTCGTTCTATAGGACACACATTTCCCCCTCCAAAAACTAAGGGGAAATGTGTGTGCGTCCTATAGAGCGAATGCAGGCTGCGCCGCTAAGCCCAAAGCCAAAACAGGAAGACGGAGCACTGCGGAGCGCTCCGTCTCGCTGTTCTGGCTTGGGAACAGCCTTGCTAGCTTCTGCAGGGCAGCGGGGTGCCTTCACCCCGCTGTCCTGCAGAAGCTAGCAAGGCTGTTCCCAAGCCAGAACAGCGGAGACGGAGGGCTCCGTCTCGCTGCTCTAGCTTGGGAGGGCTGCGCGCAAACCTCTGCAGGGCAGCGGGGTGCCTTCACCCCGCTGTCCTGCAGAAGCTAGCAAGGCTGTTCCCAAGCCAGAACAGCGAGATGGAGGGCTCCGTCTTGCTGCTCTAGCTTGGGGACGGCTGCGCGCAAACCTGTGCAGGGCAGCGGGGCGCTGCGCTCCAAAGGCTTCAGGGATCTTTGAGGCTGGCGGTGGGGGAAAGCAGCGCTTCCCCCCACCGCCAGCCCCACAAGCTCTGGTGAATGTACCTTGAACGCACCTTGTTTTGGAGTGGGAGAACAAGAAAAAAAATCTTTTTCCCTGTTCTCCCCCTCCTATGATCCGGTGCGTCCTATGGTCCGGTACGTCCAATGGAGCGAAAAATACGGTAAACAGTAGCATTTACTAAGAATTATTATCAACCCAACCAAAAAGTGCAGTACTACGAACCACCTCTAGATGTCACTTTCTATTCAACAATGCATAAGTCCATTTCAACACAGCTCAAAACAATAAATTAGCATTTGAAACGTAAAGCTAATCGTTGCTGACAACTGATTCAGCTTTCTATTATTATTTGACTTCATTTAAGCCAACATGCTTTTAAACGGTTGTTTCCATCAACTCATAAAAACAAATTAAACGAAACCTTGAAAAAGCTGCAGTCGAGAAATCTTGAAGCTAGCTGGTTTTCAAAAATCTCTCAAGAAAGATGATTACTTGGAGTAAATCCCACTGAACCTGGTGAGACTTTACTTCTGAATAAACAGTATTATTAATTAAACTTATATCCCATCCTTTCTCCCAAAGGAGCCCAGAGCTGCAATCGGCAATGTAGGACATGCACTGGGTTGAGATAAGAGCAGCATAAATGAAGAAGCTTCTTTCAAGAATGAGCCAGCAAACTCACATCAAAAAAGCATACAGCAAATGCAATAAAATGTGTATTTATATAGGACACAGTAATTTCCTGGTGAGAGAATAAAAGAATTTCCAGATGTCTAGCACAATTACAGGGCACTTTATTGTGAATACTGAATGTTATTTGATTACTAATCAGTGAATGTTTTATTGGACCAGCAATTTGTCACTACTCTAACAATGTAAGAAATTCTAGTTCTCTGTGCGTTGTCTGAACAATATAGCAGTCAGAAACTCCACTCGCGCAAACCATGGATTTATTCTTGCACTATTATACACATCACTGTGCAAGAGGACACGCACGGGGAACAGTACCTTGAAAAAGCCCAAGAGGCTATCGTCATTTCATAGCTGTGGTCGAAGTTCAAGAGCTGAAAGCCTTTTAGCTCTCCTGAGCAACACAGGTGTGTCGTAACCACAGTGCAAGTCATGGGGCCTGAAATTTTCCTTCATTGTACTTCTCAAGAACAGTGAAAGCAAAAACCGATTGTAGCAGAGTTTGGTTTTGATGGCGCAGCTTCTTACACCAGGATGAAGTGTGCTTCAGCATTTTGTAAAGTTCTACTATGCCAACGCAGGTCGAACCTCAGTTTCCTTTTCTGTTTCTTAATTTGTAAACAGGCTTTCATGTTACACGCAACTCTTCTTTATTATTTTTTTGTAAATAATTTTTATTAATTTTCAATTACTAAAATCCAGTAACGGCCACATTTTTTCAGTGTCAAATTACAATTCATATTCAAATATATATCAGTTATAAAGCCAACTGTACATTTTGTGTGACTTCCCATGTGCTGGGTTTCAGGGTGCAAAGTTTTTATTTCTTCCTGCTTCCGAAGTCTTAATTAATCCAATTATATTCACTCCTGAGCTTAATCCCTTATCATCAGCTACAGAATTCTACACGCAACTCTTCTAGTGATGGAGGGAGGGGCCCCCATTTTATCCAGGAAAAAAGCCTCAATGGGTTTAACTGTGGAACTGCAAAACAAAGGTCAGACTCTACACACACATTTCTAGCTTGCTTAAGTGTTCTGTGTTAACCCAAATACTGTACATTTCTGAGCCAAGAAAGATCCGCTATAATATTACGAATTTGCCTCTTCTAACCTTTGGACCAATATATTACCTGAACTAGTATCTGCCTCACTAAACATCTTCTTGCCCCCCTCCATACACTAAAAACAACAACCCCATACCCATCCACTGAATATCCCCCCCCCTCATGTGTTGGCGTTAACTTCTTCAACCCCAGAGTTTTAACAACACTTCCAATTTTATGGTTGTCCAATGCCTTGGCCTAATTTGTGTCACATTTCATTCTAAAATCTGTTTCACAAGAATCTCAGCTTTTGTTTTAAAATCTCAGCTTTTGCTTTAAAAAAAAAACAGTATATGCAAAATAAGGAAACATGGAAATGTGTTTGGAACCTTTTAAGTGTATTAACCTGAAACTTGCTCAAGGGGAAATAAGCAATACCATGTCCCATGGAAAAGGATGAAACATACATAAAGTAGGGATTGTGCATATATTTAGATATCAACAAATACTTGTACTTCCAAGATGTGCAAGTTGCAAGTCCCCTATCAGCTGAGGTGAGCAGCCCAGCCCTCAAAAACTCTGTTAATGAAAATATACTTCAAAAGCATATTTAATATTTGTCATCTTGCTTTAGATCTGCAGGCAGTGCTGTTTTCTTAATTATCTTCGACAACTGAGCATCTCTGTAACGTAACAGCCTACCAATTCCCCTCCCCTACCATTAACTCACACACCAAGTTTTCAGTAATTTTTTTTAATTTCGAAATGCAATTTGCATACAGCACGTAATACCTCGTTGGGAAAAGATTACAAACTCTTTCAGTAAATGGCCTAGAAACCAATACTAATCTTTGTCAGTCAAGTGATTCAGCAAATGCTGGCTACCTGTAATTTGGATCCATTTCACAACAGATTGTTAGAAACCCTCATGATGTAGGAAATCATAACATATAACGTATTGCTGATAAATCAACAGTCACCAGAGACACTTGCAAAGCGGTTTTTCTGATAGTCCTTTTCCAAGTTACAATCCAGTTGAAAGTGATAATTAGACATCAGGCATCCAGTGGCTGGCACTTCTGCATCATCATGTGGAGTTCTCTTCCTGTTCTGTATTCCCAAACATCCAATCATATTTCGCACCAAAACTATCAAATTTCAGAACGCTATTTTATAACAATCTAACAGCTGCAGTGTCTCCCTAATTACTTTTCCTTAATAGTCTTTTGGACGCTAAAACCAAGCAGGTTTGTTTATGTAAACCCACTGGATGCAGAACATTTTGGAAAATTTCTTGACAAAACAAGTGAACAAGCTAGGGACAAGCAACAAATTGCATTGCACACATCTTTGTTTCGTTTTGAAGAAACCGTAGGCATGGGGACAGGGGAGGCTGATAAAAGTCAGGACCATAGCATACAGGAAGAGTAGGGAGGTGAGATCTTCATCAGAACCGTGATGCAGAGAGAATAGTTAATGCCCTCATTACCACATGCCACAGTCCTAATCTTGCCCCCAGCTCTGGCTTACCCCTAGGGCCTGCTCCTCTTTCTTTTTTCCTTTTTTTAAACGACACATGAAGTCTAGGTATTCTAGTACAAAACGGCTTTCCTGGAAACACTCAACGTGTAGTTCAACTGGTTCTGTCGTACATATCACTTGCTGTAAACCTATAGGAAACACAATCCTTTAAACAGGAACGAGGCCACTGACTGGACTGCGGAAGTACAAACCAAGTTCACCTTTTTACAGTACCCACGGGCATCAGTCCTTTTACTTCATCCACACGACTCTTGTGAATTTGGAAGGCAGGGGTCACCCAATGGCCGCACGAACATTGCTCACCTTGCCAATGGAAGGAGCCCAGCTTCGATGTACATTTTGGGCACAGAAGCTGCAAGAGAACAAGACAAACAAGTCACTTAATGCTCCATCTCATCTCATCTCATCTCATCTCTGATTACAGGAAAAGATAAACTTCAAAACTAACTATTGCTATGGATCTCCAACTTCTAAAGATTTGACTAGTTCGTTCAAATCAACATAAAATCTGGCCTCCTCTGGCCACATTACTCGGCATCTGAAGTTCTGTTACCCAACCTCTCTCTGCTCGACCTGGTACGCAGGTTGAGACCCTACCTGCCCGCAGACTGTCTCGCCAGAGTGATGCATGCTCTAGTTATCTCCCGCTTGGACTACTGCAATGCGCTCTACGTGGGGCTACCTTTGAAGGTGACCCGGAAACTACAACTAATCCAGAATGCGGCAGCTAGACTGGTGACTGGGGGCGGCCGCTGAGACCACATAACACCGGTCTTGAAAGACCTACATTGGCTCCCAGTACGTTTCCGAGCACAATTCAAAGTGTTGGTGTTGACCTTTAAAGCCCTAAATGGCCTCGGTCCAGTATACCTGAAGGAGCGTTTCCACTCCCATCGTTCTGCCTGGACACAGAGGTCCAATGCCGAGGGCCTTCTGACGGTTTCCTCACTATGAGAAGCCAAGTTACAGGGAACCAGGCAGAGGGCCTTCTCGGTAGTGGCACCCACTCTGTGAAACGCCCTCCCATCAGATGTCAAAGAGATAAACAACTACCTGACATTCAGAAGACATCTTAAGGCAGCCCTGTTCAGAGAAGTTTTTAATGTGTGACATCTTAGTGTATTTTTGGTCTTTGTGGAAGCCGCCCAGAGTGGCTGGGAAACCCAGCCAGATGGGCAGGGTACAAATAATAAATTATTATTATTACTATTATTATTATTATTATTATTATTATTGCAAACAATGCACACTCACACATGCAGACAAGTATCCATGGGTCCTATAAAATACCCCCCCAAGCCCATCATTTTCTCAGCTCCATTGCACTTTTCAATACAGTGGAACCTTGGTTGTCAAATGTAATCCGTCCCGGAAGACCGTTCGACTTCTGAAACATTCGACAACTGAGGCGCAATTGCCAGTCGGCAAAATCCATTGAGAAAATAGAGAAATGCACCTCAGAAGCCCTTCAACTTCCGAGGCGTGTTCGAAAACGGAACTTCCAGGTTGTCGGCGTTTGAAAGCTGAAATGTTCAGCTTCTGAAATGTTCGACAATTGAGGTTCCACGGTATTTGCTCAGGTTCCCCTTCAGCTCACTGCTTGCTTTGCTGCCGTTTTCTTAGCTAACTAGCTGAAGATTTCCAAAGATTCAAACTGTGAATGTTTCCCCTCACCTGTCCATCCATCACTCCTAAGAGTGCAGGTTCCATCCACTGCACGGGCTCAATGAAGTAAGAAGTACACCTAGACTGGTCATCATAGTGAAAAGGGGCAGGTCTTGAAAGCCTCTTATGAGCAAAAGCGGCAGGTCCCTTGCCTTCATCATGAGACAAGATGCTTGAACTTCGAAAGAGCAGGCGCCTGTCGTCCAGAAACAAAGGTAACAGAATGACTTGGAAAGGTATCTGAAAGCAATGTCATCTTTGTTCATTAAAGCATATGAAATGAAAGAAACATATAATCAAAAGCAAAAATATACTGTATCTAAACTATCTTTCACATCAATAAGATATGAGGAAGAAACTGTGAGTAAATAATATGGAGTCAACAGAAAAATTCATTGTGGGAGTTCCTAATCATAAAGCAAACACATTCTTTCACACGTTAACAGGTTTTCATATTGCCACTTTCATAAGTTCTTTAATCCATGCATTAATTTAGGATGAAATCCTTCTTCCATTCTTCTAAAGATGTTATTTTGGTTACGTAGGCAGCTCTCCTGATCTGACTGCTGAAGCCTAATTGGAATTCCCATGTATCTCCAATATGGTCAAAGGATAAGGCATTTGCAAGCAACCTGCAATAAATTAACCCAGGCGGTCATTTCTGGCCAAGACTACTGAGTAGGCCCACAACAATCGTTTAGAATTGGATATTCATTTTTCTTGCATTTTTAAACTAATGCACACTTTGCACAGCAACACCAGAAGGCAACCGCATCCTATACCACAACCCTATTACATATTCAGGCAGCAACCATTTTGCGCAGGGGTTCCATTCCCGGCCCCAACACACATCGGCTGAGCGCCCGGCCCTGTTCTGCCTTCTTCCACATCCAAAGGGACCTGCACATCAGCGATCACACGTCAATTGGATACACCTGAAATAGTCGTCGCCTATACAGGTGTGGGAATGTTGCCATGCTAGTCCCAATAGGTTCTCTGAATTATCAGGACTACAGGGAGGAGAAAGAGGATTCCAGCAAAAGGTGTGGCCAGGACTTGGAGACACCACGGCAAGCTGGGGATGGGGAAGGAGATGTTGGTGTAGGAAGTACTCACAGGGGGGCAGAGGAGGGCGAGGGGATGGGGGTCAGTGAACAGGAGCAACAGGACCCATCACCAGATGTCTCCATGTACACAGCAGGCTCTGAGGTGTCGGAAGCAGCAGGCAGGGTGCTCCAGAAGTCTAAGGCAGGCAAGGGCCCACAGCCCAGCTCCGTAGCTGGCCAGGTGGGGCTCGCTAGTTCTGGGAGGAAGTGTGTGATTCCTCAGATGGAGTAGGCTGGGAGCAGGTGAGCGTCACATGCCTCATCAAGCCCAGAAGCTGCAGTCAGCAGGTATAATATAATAGGGCAGCAAAGCTGAGGTGCTGGTCTGTTTAATTGCCCATGTTGAGGGACCTTGACTTGGGTGCTCTTGGACCTCCACAGGACTGCACTTTGGGTTTGATGCTGGACTGTATTCTAACTGCAGAACTTCAGGCTTGGCTACTTGGATTGACCCTGAACCTCCTTTCCTGACCTTTGGACTTTGGATTTCTGACTCTGGGTATGGCTTGTGCTGATTGACACTTGGATTTTGAACTTGGACTTGGCACACTGACTTACTGCCAGGTAGACCAGGGGATCAGGACAATAGGCCAAGAGGACATCTTAGTCGGCCAGCAAGCAAACTTGTAATCGGGTCAGACACAAAGACCACTAAAGTTGGCATGTGCAATCAAATGCGTTCAGATCGGCTCCAGATCTTTGTTCAATGGGTCACTTAAGTAATACACATCCAACACCCAATTCTCATGTAGCTGCTATCAGTTTGCCTGCAAGATAACAAGGGCTGCTATAAGGGGAAAAAGGAAGGATCAGGTCTCTCCTGCCACCATCTGCAGAGTTCTCCCCAAATCAAGCAATTGGCAGGCATGCCACTGCCTCTCAGCAGTAACCAGGGAGCACTGCCAAAGGACATGAGCCACTAAGAGCCGCAGGTTATCTCAGTTGACACTTCTACTCTCACCTCCAGCAAGGCAGATCTCATGGCTGTGCAGTCTAATGAGACACCAAATCACCATGGCTCCTTCAGAAAGCTTGCTCTGCTGCTGCATTAAGTTCCAAAACGTTTACAGCACTGTTTCCTTCTACTTTATATTATATATTGCCCACGAGGGTTAATTAAAACCAAATTGTTTTCTCGCTCTGCTACAGAGCCTTAGCCCTGGGCTTCTGACATCTGGAATCATATCTCTTTCCCTTTCCTTACACAGTCTGACCACAACATCTCCATTTTTCAAGTATTATTTATATATAATCTATTCGCTGCTGTATATCTGGGACACTGAGCCAGTTGTCATAAAAGCAGACAAAGGGTCTATACTGGGTCTGTATCCCAATCTGTATTGGGACAGTGTCACTTCAAACTGCACGTAGAAAGTGAATGATGGATGCTTTCCTCATGGGGGGGGGGGCAGAACCCACAATGCATAGAAACCTAGCTTATTGCAGAGATGATTAGGTGGGGACCTTTCTTCCTGATTCTAGTTTTTTATCTGCACCCATTTTTTTGGGTACAGCAGAATAGTAAATCACCTTCCCATCTTCTTCAATTTGACATCCACTCACAAAAACAAGTTTACCACATCTTGGGCAATTTGCAAGAACATGGTCAGTTTTACCTGTCAGAATAAGGTGCCCTACAAGTCAGAAGAGATATATTTTTCCACACAATAAATTACTCAAAACTTCCAGAGAAATATGGTTTTACTAAAAGCTTGCCAAAACACAGCCTTGGTGAGGACCCCTGCATCACAACGTTTATCAGGCAGCACAAATACTACATTTATTTCTGTGAACCAAGTAAATCAAGACGGGACACCTTTTCGGCTCCCCAGACCAGATCCATGGGGACAGAAGTGTTACTATTTGAAGATAACTGCTGTAAGTCACAGGACAGAGCAGGATATAAATCTAATAAATATATTTGTGGAGCCCCATACCTGCACTTTCTACACCTGTACAGAACCTCAGTGTTTGGACTTTGCTGTACAGTGTTTGGATCAACTGCAAAGACATCTCGTGGCAGATTTCGTAGCTCTGAAAAGAAGAAGCAACGGTGCATTTATAAACTTGCAGACAGTCATCATTAAACATTAAAAGCTTGTATTGGTTTAAGGCATTTATATATTATCCTTAAGCAAAATGTTCAGGGGACTTTACAATAAAATCTGCTTTTTAAAAAAAGAAAGCTTTTGTCCCAATAAATACCATAAAGGAATTATTGTGGTTGTAACTGCCTACAGAGGACTCCTTCCTTTATTAAAAAAGCCTATACTCAGATGTGCATTTATTCTCACTTTATGAGATCATTGCAAAAACCAATTTCACATAAACATGCTATCAGCTATGTTGATCCATTAAATTTTTTTTAAAACAAAAGCAGCAGTACCTGCTTCACTTATTTACCCGTATTTTTCGCTCTATAAGACGCACCAGACCACAAGACGCACCTCGTTTTTGGAGGAGGAAAACAAGAAAAAAATATTCTGAATCTCAGAAGCCAGAACAGCAAGAGGGATCGCTGCGCAGTGAAAGCAGCAATCCCTCTTGCTGTTCTGGCTTCTGGGATAGCTGTGCAGCCTGCATTCGCTCCATAAGACGCACACACATTTCCCCTTACTTTTTAGGAGGGAAAAAGTGAGTCTTATACAGCAAAAAATACAGTAATTCATTTATAGCCCACTTTTCCTTCAAGAAGTTCAAGGTGCCATGATACCTTTATTATATTCACGTCAAAGTCTCAAAGCAGTACGCTAACTTTTGCATTTCATGGAACTCTTGAGCAGGCTGGATGTTAAACAAAAGGGGTAGGAGAAATATGCTGATGATAAAGGGCATAGTGGAAGCCTATTTGCAATACAGTGGTACCTCGGGTTAAGAACTTATGTATCTGAAGTAGATTATCCAGGAAGCTCTTTGCAAATGGATTAAGTTAGTGCTTTGGTGCAAATGATCTGTTTGCCCCACAGCATACTAGGGGGGAAAGCAGCAACCATCCCTCTTTTTGAAACTATAAAAGCCAGCACTTATGTAGTTCTGTGTCTCTCTGGCAGTAATCTAAGAAAGTCCTATCCACTCCTGGATCCTGCATCCCTGTCTTCAAAACCATCAATAGCCTTGCCCCTTACATCTCCACTCTTCTATCCAGACGCGTTCAAACCCATGACTACTTGTTCACTTCACCCCCAGTCGCCCAAAGGTCTCGTTTTAGTTTGTTTATTGAATCTATATCCCTCCCTTCCTCCCAAAGGAGCCAGGGAGGGCAGGTCTTCTGCTCCTTTGGATCACTCCTCCATTGCAGCCCAATGCCTAGAGCAGGCATAGGCAAACTCGGCCCTCCAGATGTTTTGGGACTACAACTCCCATCATCCCTGACCACTAGTCCTGTTAGCTAGGGATGATGGGCGTTGTAGTGCCAAAACATCTGGAGGGCCGAGTTTGCCTATGCCTGGCCTAGAGCTGCCTCTCAAAATGCCTGTGATACTCCCACTCTCTTGCTTTCTTCAAATCCACCCTAAAAAGCCACATTTTCTGTGAAACCTTTGGCACAACCACCTGGGCCCAAAAGCACATGTTGCAGATGTTGCATGTTCTTCCCCCTATTACTGCACCTCAGTTTCCAGCCTTTTCCTCTGCTGCCTACATGTGTCCCTGATCACACATTACATCTGAACACACTGGTTTCTATGGAGAGAGATGAAAGCGGAAAGTATTACTATTGCATTTTAGGAGAAGAGAAGGGGCACTAGGGATCTTGCAGGCTGCAATGGAGGCTTGGGGGAGGGAACGAAAGCTTGAAGTGTGAATGGCACAAGTTTGGGTCACCCGAGGGCAGAAAGAAGAGCAAGATCAGGAAAACTGAAGTGAAAGAGAGAAATGCAAGAGTTGAAGTGCCATTTACCTGTTCCAAAGGAAGAGTGAATATCCCAAGATTCAGTGTTATTCAAGAGTCTGGGGTTTTTGAAGCAACCAAGCACAAATTTTTGGGGGGTCAGGCAACCTGATTCTCAGATAACAGGATACCACTTTTTATCTGGGGACAACCAGGGGAAAAGGCTGCAATGTAGGCAAGGATTCTGAAGATCCTCCAAGACCCACATGGTGCAATACCCAAGCAAGCAACCTAGGTTTTCCTCGAACCCCCTGCCCCAAATGGGGGAAAGCAGAAAGTGTGCCTTAAAAGGGGAGCATAAGCCTGTGTGCTCCCTTTAACTTCCTGACTAGATCTGAGAAAAATAACGAACACAGACAGACAAAAAGAAAGGAGTCAAGCAGAGGAGACAGGAAGGGGGAGCTACTAGCTAGGGCAAGAACAATCCATCCTGGAGGATCCCACAGGGACTGAGCAAATGGACTGCGTGAACAATTCAATCCTTTGGGGGAAGAATTTAAAGGTTCTGCTCCTTGGGAGGAGGGGATACCTAAAAGGAAAGACAGCAAGATTGCAAATCTGGCTAGAAGAGGAAGAGCTTTCCCATAAGAAAAGGTAGCATTGCTTTTGACTGACAGTAGAATACTTTTAAGTTTCTTGCCATGGAGCAGTAATGAGATGACTTACAGCAGGCATGGCCAAACTTGGCCCTTCAGCTGTTTTTGGGACTACAGCTCCCATCATCCCTAGCTAACAGGACCAGTGGTGTCAGGGATGATGGGAATTGTAGTCCCAAAACAGCTGGAGGGCCGAGTTTGGCCATGCCTCACTTACAGGCAAAGCTGAGTTCCATGTGGAAAACAGATTAACCTTGAGCATGAGTGTCTAAGTCCATGTACAAAACTGGGGTAGCAGATCCTAACTTTAAGAAATGCTTGTTGGAAAGACCAAACTGAGGTGTGTTCTTATGCTGGCCGTGCGCAAAAAGGAATCCGATACAAAGCAAGACATTTGCGACTACGTCTTTGTTGCTCGTTGTAATGAGAACATGTCTACATCTAATTAGGGAGGGTTGCTGGTTCATGCCACCGTGTGCCTCTTTTTCTGTGCCTGAGAAAGCGCCATGCTTTGTACTGCCACTCATGTGAAGCACCAGGAGCCAAGAGGCATGCTAATGATGAAAAAAAGACTGAGCACATAGTACAGTGGTACCTCAGGTTACATACGCTTCAGGTTACAGACTCTGCTAACCCAGAAATAGTGCTTCAGGTTAAGAACTTTGCTTCAGGATGAGAACAGAAATCATGCTCCGGCAGCGGGGCAGCAGTGGGAGGCCCCATTTGCTAAAGTGGGGCTTCAGGTTAAGAACAGTTTCAGGTTAAGTACGGACCTCCGGAACGAATTAAGTACTTAACCCGAGGTACCACTGTAATATATTCCTAGGCTGCCACTTGGGGCAGATACCTCCTTGTAAAGTGTCATATTTATACATTATACTATATAAATATCTAATAAATATTATTATTAATTACAGCTCACAAGCCTCTGCCAAGCAGAAGGGGAAATGTTGCAATCTTTTTATTAGCAAATATCTAGGTAAATTTGTGAAGAACGTCTGGAGCGCCAATGAAGATTGTCACATCTTGCAAATGGGCCTTCCACCAAACTTCCTACCTGCAACAGTGTTTCCCCTCACACAAACCTTTAACTTTGTTTGATATTATCAGCATTTTTAGCATCCAGCTTAAAGGAGAGTTTTGTGAAACTCGAAAGCTAGCTCACGACTTTTGACTTTTCATTGGTTTTAACAGATTATACTATTCCAGTTGAAACACTGTGTTTTATAAAATATGCTTACAGGATCCTCACTTTCTTCACTGAGCAGAGGCACTAGAAAGTGGAGGATCCATATTTCTGCAATTCCAACCAGCTTTATGTCTTACAGAACATGGACTGCTTGATTTTTAGCCTTTACATTGTGAAAAATGCTTCACAAACACTCTGTGCATGTGCCTAAGTTCTTCTGTAGCACAAAGCACCGTCCTGACAGCAAGATAGGAGACCAAGAAAGATTCCTTTACACACAAACACACACACACACACACACAGAGAGAGAGAGAGAGGAAGAGGAGAAGGAAAAGAAGAAGAAGAAGAAGAAGAAGAAGAAGAAGAAGAAGAAGAAGAAGAGGCGACTTTATTATTCTTAATGCAAACAAAGCCCATTCTTTGGGTCTTCATATTTGATTTAGTCCAACCCGAAAATGATAACAAAATTCTAAACCAAGGATGCCATTGAGACTTGCCTCAACTGTTCCCTTATGCAGCTTGATAATGTGAAAAGAAAAGAAAGAATTACACATATCGGCCTCATTCATAGGAACATAAAAATGTGAATGTGCTTCCGCATAATTTAGACTCTTGAGATTTGGTACACACACAAGGTCTGATTACAAAATAAAAAACTGAAAAGGAGGCATTTGTACAACTTGCCTTGAAAAGGGAGAGGGAATACATGAGACTGTAGCCCAAAACTGTCACACTAAAGCTTAAGATCCTTTACACACAAACACCTTAAGACAGACTAGTAATCAGTAAAGTCTGAAATTAGAATGTTTTTACAAAAACTCCATTCACTTTACCTAATTTCTAAATGACTGAGTAATAGAAAGGTTGGGGAGGGGAGCCAAAACAGGGCTGTTACAGAGAAAGGAAGCTAGCATGTGCCAAAAGAAAACCTAAAGTGGATTCTTCTGGAGGAAAGATTGCTGAAAACTGATTTCTGCTCTTGCACCAATGAGATCAAGTTTAGGTGTGCTCGATTATTCATAGTATAGCAAGGTTGGAGGCTTTTTGCAGCCTACCTACTGACAGATCCTGCTTCTGCAAGTTTCCTCGGAAGAAGATATCAAACCCCTGGGCTCCTCCCAACAACTGCCTTTTGCAGCTGAGTGCAGGTCTAACTGGCCTCTCTCACCCCACGTCCCACATCAGACAAGCGGAAAAAGATTTGTTGCACCAACTTCCTCAGAACCAACTGGGGGAGTGAAGATCCCAGAATAGAAATGATACTGGATGGGAATGTTGAAATACCTAGATTTGACTTTGGGAAGGGGGTGTCTGTGTTCCTTAGTTAAGTATATGATGTACAGTCATACCTCGGGTTACAGCCGCTTCAGGTTGTGTTTTTTTGGGTTATGGACCGCCGAAACCTGGAAGTATCGGAACAGGTCGCGCATGCGCAGAAGCACTAAATCGCGATTTGCGCATAAGTGCCGAATCACAACCCGCGCATGCGCAGACGCGGGTTGCAAACGCTGCAGGTTGCGAACATGCATCCCACACAGATCACATTCGCAACCCGAGTGTCCACTGTACTATAGAGGTGGGGGAAGTTTTTCATTTAGAGACATGCAGGGACAGCACAGAAATTTTATTTGGAGGACAGATTTCACTCATACACTGCAAAGAGAAAAACACTCTGCATGTGTTCAGGCATACTTTAAATATACTCCCACTGGCTACTAGAAATAACCCCTTCATGGATCACTGCCTTGCCGTGGCGAAGGGGCTTGAAGAACTCAGAGAAGCTATGAACTATGCCGAGCAGGGCACCCAAGATGAACAGGTCATAGTGGAGAGTTTTGACCAAACGTGATCCACCTGGAGTAGGAACCGGCAAGCCACTCCAGTATCCCTGCCAAGAAAACTCCATGGACAAAGACAACAGGCATATAAAAGTTATGACGCTGGAAGATGAGCCCTCAGGTCGGAAGGTGTCCAACATGCTACTGGGGAAGAGCGGAGGACAAGTACAAGTAGATCCAGAGCTGATGAAGCGGCTGGGCCAAAGCCGAAAGGACGCTCAGTTGCGGATATGCATGGAAGCGAAAGGAAAGTCCAATGCTGTAAAGAAAAATATTGCATAGGAACCTGGAATGTAAGAACCATGAACCTGGGTAAGTTGGATGTGGTCAAAAATGAGATGGCAAGAATAAATATTGACATCCTGGGCATCAGTGAGCTAAAATGGACGGGAATGGGCGAATTCAGTTCGGATGACTATCATATCTACTACTGTGGGCAAGAAATCCGTAAAAGAAATGGAGTGGCCCTCATAGTCAACAAAAGAGTGGCGAAAGCTGTACTGGGATGCAGTCTCAAAAATGATAGAATGATCTCGATACGAATCCAAGGCAGACCTTTTAACATCACAGTAATCCAAGTTTATGCACCAACTACTGGTGCTGAAGAAACTGAAATTGACCAATTCTATGAAGACTTACAAGACCTTATAGAAGTGACACCAAAGAAGGATGTTCTTCTCATTATAGGGGATTGGAATGCTAAAGTAGGGAATCAAGAGATAAAAGGAACAACTGGCAAGTTTGGCCTTGGAGATCAAAATGAAGCAGGGCAAAGGCTAATAGAGTTCTGTCAAGAGAACAAGCTGGTCATCACAAACACGCTTTTCCAACAACACAAGAGACGACTCTACACATGGACATCACCAGATGGGCAACATCGAAACCAGATTGATTATATTCTCTGCAGCCAAAGATGGAGAAGCTCTATACAGTCAGCAAAAACAAGACCTGGAGCTGACTGTGGCTCAGATCATCAGCTTCTTATAGCAAAATTCAAGCTTAAACTGAAGAAAGTAGGAAAAACCACTGGGCCGGTAAGATACAATCTAAATCAAATCCCTTATGAATACACAGTGGAAGTGAGGAACAGGTTTAAGGATTTAGATTTGCTGGACAGAGTGCCTGAAGAACTATGGGTGGAGGCTCGCAACATTATACAGGAGGCAGCAACTAAAACCATCCCAATGGAAAAGAAATGCAAGAAAGCAAAGTGGCTGTCCAACGAGGCCTTACAAATAGCGGGGAGAGAAGGCAAGCAAAATGCAAGGGAGATAGTGAAAGATACAGGAAATTGAATGCAGATTTCCAAAGAATAGCAAGGAGAGACAAGAAGGCCTTCTTAAACGAGCAATGCAAAGAAATAGAGGAAAACAACAGAATGGGAAGAACCAGAGATCTGTTCAAGAAAATCGGAAATATGAAAGGAACATTTCGTACAAAGATTACCATAATAAAGGACAAAAGTGGTAAAGACCTAACTGAAGCAGAAGACATCAAGAAGAGGTGGCAAGAATACACAGAGGAATTATACCAGAAAGATATGGATGTCTCGTACACCCCAGGTAGTGGGGTTGCTGACCTTGAGCCAGACATCCTGGAGAGTGAAGTCAAATGGGCCTTAGAAAGCACTGCAAATAACAAGGCCAGTGGAAGTGATGGTATTCCAGCTGAACTATTTAAAATTTTAAAAGATGATGCTGTTAAGGTGCTACACTCAATATGCCAGCAAGTTTGGAAAACTCAGCAGTGGCCAGAGGATTGGAGAAGATCAGTCTACATCCCAATCCCAAAGAAAGGCAGTGCCAAAGAATGCTCCAACTACCGCACAATTTCACTCATTTCACATGCTAGCAAGGTTATGCTTAAAATTCTACAAGGAAGGCTCAAGCAGTATGTGGACCGAGAACTCCCAGAAGTGCAAGCTGGATTTAGAAGAGGCAGAGGAACCAGAGACCAAATTGCAAACATGCGCTGGATTATGGAGAAAGCTAGAGAGTTCCAGAAAGACATCTACTTCTGCTTCATTGACTATGCAAAAGCCTTTGACTGTGTCGACCACAGCAAACTATGGCAAGTTCTTAAAGAAATGGGAGTGCCTGATCACCTCATCTGTCTCCTGAGAAATCTCTATGTGGGACAAGAAGCTACAGTTAGAACTGGATATGGAACAACTGATTGGTTCAAAATTGGGAAAGGAGTACGGCAAGGCTGTATATTGTCTCCCTGCTTATTTAACTTATATGCAGAATTCATCATGCGAAAGGCTGGGCTGGATGAATCCCAAGCCGGAATTAAGATTGCTGGAAGAAATATCAACAACCTCAGATATGCAGATGACACAACCTTGATGGCAGAAAGTGAAGAGGAATTAAAGAAACTTTTAATGAGGGTGAAAGAGCAGAGCGCAAAATATGGTCTGAAGCTCAACATCAAAAAACGAAGATCATGGCCACTGGGCCCATCACCTCCTGGCAAATAGAAGGGGAAGAAATGGAGGCAGTGAGAGATTTTACTTTCTTGGGCTCCTTGATCACTGCAGATGGTGACAGCAGTCACGAAATTCAAAGACGCCTGCTGCTTGGGAGAAAGGCGATGGCAAACCTAGACAGCGTCTTAAAAAGCAGAGACATCACCTTGCCAACAAAGGTCCGTATAGTAAAAGCTATGGTTTTCCCAGTAGTGATGTATGGAAGTGAGAGCTGGACCATAAAGAAGGCTGATCGCCAAAGAACTGATGCTTTTGAATTATGGTGCTGGAGGAGACTCTTGAGAGTCCCATGGACTGCAAGAAGATCAAACCTCTCCATTCTTAAGGAAATCAGCCCTGAGTGCTCACTGGAAGGACAGATCCTGAAGCTGAGGCTCCAATACTTTGGCCACCTCATGAGAAGAGAAGACTCCCTGGAAAAGACCCTGATGTTGGGAAAGATGGAGGGCACAAGGAGAAGGGGACGACAGAGAATGAGATGGTTGGATGGTGTTCTTGAAGCTACCAGCATGAGTTTGATCAAACTGCGGGAGGCAGTGGAGGACAGAAGTGCCTGGCGTGCTCTGGTCCATGGGGTCACGAAGAGTCGGACACGACTAAACGACTAAACAACAACTAGAAATAATTCCCAGCCACCAAACTCAAACTTAAGATTGTGGACTCCTGCATCCTTGGGACAGAAAGCTGAACTGGGGGAATTATTTCCCCTTCACTGGGAATGTGGCTCCAAATTACACTCCCCTGTCAAGCAACAGCTCCAGCTGCTGAAGATTCTGAAGAATTCAGCAGGTAGAAAAAGCTAAAGAAATATGGAAAGCTAAGTATACAGCGAAGAAGGTGTTGTCTGACTTTCTCACTGTGCTATTTGTCTTCGTTTAATTCTTCTCAGAAGTGAATTTTAACTAGAGGTTGGGAAATGAGCAGGGAAAATGAGAGGTGGAGCTGGTCTTACATGGCAAGTATTCAATGTACCAAGGCTCATAGCCAGGGGTGAGGGCGATTTCCAACAGCAGTCAGTAACATGTATCCATGCTTTAAGAATTCAAGCTTACTAGTCTATCTATAATACAACTCATGTTTGAAAAAGAGTGCTATTTATTACAGAGTTTTGTTATTACCCATTCCAGGTGGAAGAACCGGGGGGGGGCAATTCAAGTAGAGTTCAATAACGCAAGTTCAGTTCCAATGTGAATACAGTAGCTGAATTTGTATGTAGCCATTTCTAGCCCAATGTTAAGAGATTAGAAAAGCACTTCTATTTCCTTACCAGGATATTTCTCTGTAACCTTTTGCAAACGATACTGTTTGTAAATAGTACTGGTCACATCGACTTCACAGCCCATTTTTTCATAGAGTTTCAGTTGCCACTCGAAGCCTTCATTCATTCTGGAACAAGGGGCGGGGGGAAAGCCTTCTGATTACATTCCAATCTTCACAAGGAAGGAAAACAAATTTTATCAAATAAAAACGCACTTGGCATCTGGTTTGATGGCCTGGACAAAGGCATAGGCCTCTTCAAAAGGGAGTTTATTGGCTTTCATTAAATAGGCAGTCACAACAGCAACACTCCGGCTGACTCCAGCTTGACTGAAAACAAAACAAAACAAGGAGACACCCAATAAAATATGGTCACACACAACAAAAAATGGAAACCCCCCCCAAAAAAATAACCAGATCCTTCATTCACTTCAAACTGCATTTCCCCCTAGAGAACATCTTTCTTACAATTCACTTGTACTCAGGGAATAGAGCACTGCACACACATTTCTCATGACAACTTTGGAAGATATACTTGTGTATCAACAGCTTTTCCCTTAGAAATACTATACTCAAGAGTCAGAGGCTCAAGACTTCCCCAGGTGCTCTTTGTGTACTTTGATGCACAATGTATTTTGTACTCTAGTTTCACAATATCCCTCATTACCTGCTGCCACCCCACCCACCTGAAAGACATGACCTCCCTGAAAATTATCCTGCTCCTGTCCTAACAAGAGAGCAAGAGTGTGGTTGAAATTCTATATGAACAATATTATTATTATTATTATTGTTATTATTATTATTATTATTATTTTATACCCCGCCTATCTGGTTGGGCTTCCCCAGCCACTCTGGGCAGCTTCCAACAAAATATTAAAATACAGTAATGCATCAAACATTAAAAGCTTCCCTAAACAGGGCTGCCTTCAGATGACTTCTAAAAGTCTGGTAGTTGTTTTTCTCTTTGACATCTGGTGGGAGGGTGTTCCACAGGGCGGGTGCCACTACCAAGGAGGCCCTCTGCCTGGTTCCCTGTAATTTGGCTTCTTGCAGTGAGGGAACCGCCAGAAGGCCCTCAGAGCTGGACCTCAGTGTCCGGGCAGAACGATGGGGGTGGAGACGCTCCTTCAGATATACTGAACCGAGGAACAATGATTCCCCCCCCTGTACTTCCTACACAAAAGAAAGAGCATAAGGGTCCTGCTCCAACACCCATACAGCCAAACATTTCTGACAGTGGCCATCTCCTGTCATTTGTCGCCAGCATCCGGTATAATCAGTACACAAAACCAGAAAGAATGAAAGAATGAATGAAAGAAAGAAAGAAAGGACTTGATGGAGAAAGTGGGGAACACATTCTACATCTTAGGGTAGGGCTATGATGTTTTGTTGATTGTTGGCTAGATTGATCAAAAGCAGGGTGCCACTTTTTAAAAAAGAAGTGTACAAGAACAGACAAAAATGGCAGGTGGTAGTGGCCATCTTCAAACGGGCATCCTGCGTCTCTCACACAGAAGAGCAAATCGACTGTCCCAGATGGAGCCTGCTGCGGCTTTTGCAAGCTTCATCAAAAAGAACACAGAAAGCAAATTATATACACAGGTAATAAGCGAAGCAACAAAAATTTATTTGACTGCTCCGCCTTCTGTGCAGGCTAAGAGTTGGACATGCTGAGATTTGGGAGCACATCGGGGCACAAGGTAAATTAGACAGTGAAAGTTCAGCCAAAAGTTAATGCTAGGGAAGGATTTGCGGGGGTAGAAAGAGAGAAAAGAGAAAGCGCATTGCAGTCGCGTCTCATTGCCTGTATAGGCGATTTCCGGATTCTCCTGGAGGTGGTGTTTTTTTTTCTTTTTAATGCCCTGAGAGACAGAAGAAACTGAAGATTCAATGTTATCTGTGTTTTGAGCACCAGCATGTCTAGGTCACACGTAATAAGACCCGAGTTAGAAAAAAGGCTAGAGAAACCCCGTCTTTTCCGGTACTTTGGCTTCTGGCTGGACATGGAGGTATCCGATCGCGGGCTGTGCTAAAAATAAAAACTAAAAAAGCACCCCTTGATTTCTCTCAATATCTGTGGGACAGTTGTCATTACCACCCTGATTTATAGATAGATAGATAGATAGATAGATATCTGGCCAATAACCAACCTGTTTGTGTGGCAGCACCCTTGATGTCAAGTGAGGATGGCCACATAATTTTTATGTATTTTTTTCAGTTGGAATGTGAGACTCAGAAAAAGTAAAAAGCATTTCTCAGCATCAGGGAGAGAAGAAGTAAAAAGTATTTCTCGGCTGAACAGGAAAGATGGGCAGTTGCCTTTCACAACAAAATGTGGCAAAACAATGTCAAAAATGTCTCTGGGTTTACACACACAATTAGGGGCAGAAACCGGGCCCTAGCGCTGCTTGTTATAATAATTGCTACATTATATCATTTTCTTATATAATTATTATATGCTGTTTAAAATAAATAAATAAATAAATAAATAGGATTATTATTATCATAGTTCCACTGCCAGTCTGCAATGCTCTAATAATAATAATAATAATAACAATTCTTATTGTTCCCCTGCCAGTCTGCAGCGCTCTAATAAATAATAATAAATTATTTTTGTTCCCCTGCCAGTCTGCAGTGCTCTAATAATAATAATTGTTCTCCTGCCAGTCTGCGCTCTAATAATTATAATAACAGCAACAACAACAATAACAATTCTTATTGTTCCACTGCCAGTCTGCAGCGCTCTAATAATAACAATAATAATTGTTGTTGTTCTGTCAGTCTGTGCTCTAATTATAATAACAGCAACAACAATAACAATAATTATTATTATTATTGCTCCACTGCCAGTCTGCAATGCTCTAATAATAATAATAATAATAATAATAATAATAATTCTGCTTGTTCCACTGTCAAGTCTGCGGCACTCTAATAATAGTAATAATAATAATTGTTGTTGTTGTTCTCCTGCCCGTCTGCAGCGCTCTAAGAATATTAATAATAATAATAATTCTTATTGTTCCCCTGCCAGTCTGCAGCGCTCTAATAATAATAATAATAATAATAATAATAATTCTTATTGTTCCCCTGCCAGTCTGCAGCGCTCTAATAATAATAATAATAATAATTTCTGCTTGTTCCACTGCCAGTCTGCAGCGCTGTAATAATAATAGTAATAATAATAATTATTATTATTGTTGTTGTTGTTGTTGTTCCCCCGCCCCCCTGCCGCGCTCTAATAATAATAATAATAATAACAATAATAGCAATTCTTCTTGCCGGCCCCTCACCATCTGACCAGGGCGCGCGCCCCCCTTTCCCGCGCGCGGCCGAGGAATTCCGCGCAGGCGTCGAGGTGGCTGAGGAGGTCGCTGTGAGGCTGGTCCAGGGCGGGCACGTGCAGCACCGCCTCCGCCCCCGACACCGCCCCGGCCTCGGGCGGCTCCGAGTCCACCAGCAGCAGCGCCCAGGCCGCCGCCGCGCCATCCGGGAGGCCGAGGCCGCCGCCGCCGCCGCCGCCCAGGTACAGGCCGGGGAGCACGGGCACCATGACTAGGCCGCGCCGCCTCAGCGGGAACTGCCGCGGCCCCGCCTTCCCGCTCCGTCTCCGCCAATGAGGCGCCCTCTTTCGAGCAACCCTAAACTTACGAAATGGTAGACCCGCGCGCTTCCGCCATTTTGTGGCTGTGTGGAATAAGTACATAGAGCTGAAAGGAAGTAGCGCTTGCGGGTTCCGTTTCGTTCCCGCCCTTTCCTTCTGTTTTTAAACTCAAAAAAATTTATCCTTAAACTGCAGAGCTCGATTATGTTATTATGTACACAAAGTTAATAAATAAATAGCAGCAACAGCATTTATTCAGTAAATCTGTATACCACACCCTTCACGTGAAGATCTCTGGGCATCAAAGTGCAAAATAAAAACACAAAATGCATAATAAAAAGAAGAGTCAAAACAAAACAATAACTCCCCCCTTCCCACAAACATATTTAAAAGGATACAGGGTATTAATCAGCCCAAGGCCTAGCTGAAGAGGAGCATTTTCACCTGGCAACTAAAGATATTTCTCATAAACTAAATTGTTCTTAGATGATTTACTTAATCCTTTACAGTCATACCTTGGGTTACAGACGCTTCAGGTTGCATGTTTTCGGGTTGCGCACTGCACTGAGCCCGGAAGTACCGGAACGGGTTACATCCGGGTTTTGGTGCTCGTGCATGCGCAGAAACACTAAATTGTGTTTTGCGCATGTGCAGAAGCGCCGAATCGTGACCCCCTGCATGCACAGACACAGCGCTGCGGGTTGCGAACACTGCGGGTTGTGAACGTGCCTCCCCCACGGATCACGTTCGCAACCCGAGCGTCCACTGTACTTTCTTCTAACCACAGGGTCTGGAAAGAGTGGCTTTCAAAATCGGCCCCTCTGATCTTGCCTATGATGTTATTCATTTATCACTGATCATTTTCTAACGAATATTGTTGGCATCTGTCTTGAGAGTCAATGGAGTGCGCTTCGGGGGGTGAAGTCAAGCCGCTGCATAGCAGCACCAAAGTGACCTCCCCGGGGTGCAAGCCTGGGCAGTGCGTATGGAGGTCCTGGGCTGCCCAGACCCCTTGCTGATGGGGTCCAAAGGAAAGCAGAGCAATAGGTTTGGCACCAGCTTGGTTGCAGGAGTTGCCAGAAAGAGGCGTACAAGGCGCCATCCAACCATCTTAGGGACTCCACTCTGGATTTCTGTAGGGTTTACTCCTTAGACCTTTCTTCTCCTGAAGTTACCCCACAAGGCAGTGGAGGTTTACCATCAGAGTTTTCCTTCTCCTAGATGGGCTACCTTCCCAGGTTAATGAGCCCCATCTGCCGCTCACTTCTTCTTTTCTTTTTTTAAAAATACTTTTTATTGATTTTCACAAACAAAACAAGATTAAATAAAACTTTTACATTCAACATTTTTTGTCTTCTTATTTACCCTGCGCAGTTTTGCGCCCGAACTTCCCTCCTTCCCTGCTTCAGTTTTCCCAATTTACATCCATTCCTGCAGATTCTTAATTACATTCTATACACATCACCAGATTTATGTTAGCCCTGCTACAGTTTTTAAACTTCAACAGTTATTTCGTATATACACAACAAATTTACTCCACTCCTCCTCAAACTTTGTCACTTTTTGGTCTCGAATTTTATAACTCATTTTTGCCAATTCTACATACTCAAATAATTTCGTCTGCCACTCCATTAGGGTTGGTAACTCTTGAGATTTCCCCTTTTGGGCCACAAGGATCCTTGCGGCAGTCGTGGCTGCTCACTTCTTAGAGACTCCAGAGTTGTGCAGTTCTCAGCATTTTCTGACCATTGGACACACTCTTGGTCTCATCTGCTCAATGCGCCAGAGTCTGTCGCCCCATTCAGGGGAAATCCCTAAGTCACTGAGGGTTTGAGACCCATTGGCTACCATTACATGGTTTAGCCAGCTACTTGAAGCCATTCCCAGGGTGTGGCTACTGTCGCATGCCAATACAGTGGTACCTCGGGTTACAGATGTTTCAGGTTACATACACTTCAGGTTACAGACTCCGCTAACCCAGAAATATTACCTCAGGTTAAGAACTTTGCTTCAGGATGAGAACAGAAATCGTGCTCCAGCAGTGAGGCAGCAGCAGGAGGCCCCATTAGCTAAAGTGGTGCTTCAGGTTAAGAACAGTTTCAGGTTAAGAACGGACCTCCGGAACAAATTAAGTTCTTAACCTGAGGTACCACTGTAGTTTCTATGAGCCACAGTCAAGTGAGATCTGAGTGCGGGGTCGGTACCAAAGGTGGACAGATTACCCCAGAAGAAGCACGACATGTCCCTCACAAGAGGTACTATCCCTCCCCTAACGTACCCTCCAACATTTCTCCGATGAAAATAGCTTCGTCCCATTCCATAATGATAATTTTACTATTTATACCCCACACATCTTACTGGGTTGCCCCAGTCACTCTAGGCAGCTTCCAACATATATAAAAACACAGTAAAACGTTAAAAAAAACCTTCCCTATACAGGATTGCCTTCAGACGGCTTAGGGGTTGGATAACTCCATACCCTACAACATTTATTCAATGATGTTCCAGGACGGCTTCTCTAAATCAGGGGTGACCCTGGAAGATAGGGACATTTGGAGGGTTTGCCCTAACACCCCATAACTCCCCATAATAATGAAGATAGAATTAAAATATTTGGATAATGGGACTGAGTGGGGATTTTCTGGCTAAATATTTTTATACAGATCAACAATGTCTTACAGAACCTGAGTTAAAATTAACTGCAGTATCAAGTACAGTGGTACCTCGGTTTTCAAACGTAATCCATTCCGGAAGACCATTTGAGTTCCGAAACGTTCGAAAACCGAAAACTCAGTACGGAAGCCTCAATATGGAAAACTCAGTACAGAAGCCATGTGGCATGTTCGACTTCTGAGGCGAGTTCGAAAACCGTAGCATTTACTTCTGGGTTTACAGCGTTCGAAAACCGAAATGTTCGTCAACGGAGACATTCGAAAACCGAGGTACCACTGTAATTGGTTTGCAATATACCAGGTCCGGCATTTTCTAAGTCAACAAAGAGTCCAGACATGGGCATTATAACATAAATTGACTCCTTTTGAAAAGATTGTGCTCATTTATAATTCACTAGGTAAAGGTCTTGTTTCCCAAATTTATGGAACACTGAACTCTCAAATGCTGTCACCTCCCACAACTTTGAAAGCACAATAGGGATAAGATCTGGGTGAGCCATTAGATTGTACTTTATGAAGCAGAATATGGCTAAAGGCCCCTTCAAATCTGTCTCCGTAAGAATCCAGGAAAACACACTCAAAATCATGCACCAATTGTATATACACCCTTTTTAAAAACTAAAATGACTAAAAACGTATCAGCTATGTGTGGTTCGTTTATTCACATGTGGTTGCAATGCCCCAAAGTCTTTGTGTTTGGGGAAAAAACGTTTTTCATGAAGCAGCCCTTATCACAAAACAAGATACCCCTTTGGATCCTAAATAACACTCCTATCATACCATTCAGAAACTGTCCAACAACTTTCCCACAAGGATCTCATTACTCACCTGACGACTGCAGCAAAGCTTACTATTGCAAGGTATTGGAAGACGCTAAACGTAGACCTGTTTGAGATCTGGATCTTACAACTTTAGGGCTTAAAACTAATGGACAAATTGACAGCCCCTGTCCAAGAGAGTCGAAGAGACAATGAAACCGCTACTTTTCAATCAATTTGGCATAGCTTTCTTGCATATGCAATATTGATAGAACATGGTTACAGGCATCCAGTAGCACATTGCAACTTGTGGAATGAAATCTTCATTTAAAAACTGAAAGAAAGGACTAAAAAGTTTGATCTAGGGTAATTTAATGGACACTTTGTGCTTCTGCTGGGGATTCAGGTAGTAAGCTTGTTGACTGTTGATTGTTGCTCTTTGTATAAATAAGTGGAACAATTTTTTAAAAAGGAAATGAAAGGTAGCATCTCTATGAATAAAGTTCTTCAGGCATTTCTATGATATAAACCAGGAATACTGGAGCCCACAGAACTCTCTCAAAATCCCAGATGTGCCCACTGGCCTCAAAAGGTGGGGGATGCTGTAGAAAGCCACAGAGAGGTGACCAGCATCCTCCTCCTACCTTTGAAGGGGAAACAATAATCCCTGAATTCTACAAATGGATCAAAGATACATTGGACTATTGCATCTTGAAGCCTTACAGTTTGTCCTCCGAACCCTAAGACAGGGGTGGACTTTGGCCAACTTTGGTAGAATGAGCAAGCCCAAAATTTGGCACCCCCAAACAGATCTCCTCAATCATGGACTTTCTCAGTTTTGCACCCCCTCGGCTCAGTGCCCTGTGCCGGGGAACCACCCATACTGCCCTAAATCTGGCACTACCCAGGTCTCTTTCTGACAGTGTAGGAGTTATGAGCAGTCTGGCCATTGTCCCTTCCATTCTAGAGAGCACCAGTGGGACAGAAAATGGTCTCACCACCAACCCCATCACTGCCAGAACAGACTTCATTCAAGGGATAGATGGAGGAGTTGATCTAATCATCATGGTCTGTTTAAAGGTTTTGTTGGGTGAGGTGGGGGGTGTCATGTGTCTTCACCCCTTGCCTCATGAGATGCTCATGGTCTTCCAGGGCACATCTTGCCTTATAAATGGGAATAGGCTTCTTCTTCTCAGGTATGCCTTCCATGACCAGCCCTTTTAAAAAAACCCTGACGATCTGCCTCCTCTCTCACTCCCTACCCCACCAATAGCAGGGTTTCCTTTAGATCTCCTTCTGTGGCCACTTTTAGAACCCAGTTTCCTTGCTAAAGAAGCCTCCAGACATCTCCAAAACATACTTTATTTTTTGCTCCATAAGACTCACTTTTCCCGTCCTAAAAAGTAAGGGAAAATGTCTGTGCGTCTTATGGAGTGAATGCAGGCTGTGCAGCTATCCCAGAAGCCAGAACAGCAAGAGGGATCGCTGCTTTCGCTGCACAGCAATCCCTCTTGTTGTTCTGGCTTCTGAGATTTAGGTTTTTTTTTTCTTGTTTTCCTCCTCCAAAAACTAGGTGCATCTTATGGTCTGGTGTATCTTATAGAGCGAAAAATACGGTACTTTTGCTTCCTGAACATTTACAAAGCATCTCAGACAAGTCCGTATTCACTTTGCAGCTGAGTTTGCCTGAGGTCCTTACAATTATTTCCAAATTCTCAAAGCTAGTGTTTTGTTCCATTCCCTGAGTGGTTCGAGACTGCCCTAAAAAAAGAATGAGGCGTAAAATCCACACAGAAACACATCATTGCTTGTTTCAACTCGCTTGTGGGAACAACTCAGAGGCCGTGAAAGAAGGAAGGTCAACAACTGGAAGAATTAGAGGAACCATTGGAAATGACTATGAAAAGCAGTAGAGATATGAGAAGATCAGAACCCTCCGAACGTCCCATTAAAAAATTTATAATTTGGCAGAATATTTGGACTATTTGATATGTATATGTATAATTTGGAATATTTAATGTGATTTGATTGGATTGTTAAAACGGAAAATTTA